TTCTTCCTATCCATGAGGATGGAATGTTTTTCCATTTCTTTGTGTCATCTCTGCTATCCTTGAGTAGTGGTTTGCAGTTCTCCTTGAAGAGGGACTTCACTTCTCTTGTTAGCTGTATTCCTAGGTATTTTATTCCTTTTGTGGCAATTGTGAGTAGGAGCTCATTTATGATTGGCTCTCTGCTTGTCTATTGTTGGTGTATAGAAATTCTCATGATTTTTGCACTTCGATTGTGTATCCTGAGACTTTGCTGAAGTTGCTTATCAGCTTAAGAAGCTTTTGAGCTGAGATGATGGATTATCTAGATATGGGATCATGTCATCTGCTAACAAAGATAGTGTGACTTCCTCTCTTCCTATTTGAATACCCTTTAGTTCTTTCTCTTGCCTGATTGCCCTGGCCAGAACTTCCAATTCTATGCTGAATAGGAGTGGTGAGAGAGGCCATCCTTGTCTTGGGGATTTTCAAGGGGAATGCTTCCAGCTTTTGCTCATTCAGTATGATATTGGCTTGGCTGTGGGTTTCTCATGCCCCAGGATGCAAGGTTCAACATATGCAAATCAATAAATGTGATTCATCCCATAAACAGAACTAAAGACAAAAGCCACATGATTATCTCAATAAATGCAGAAAAGGCCTTCAATAAAATTCAACATCTCTTCATGTTAAAAACTCTCGATAAACTAGGTATTGAAGGAACCTACATTAAAATAGCATTTTGTGTCTTTCTTTTCCATTTAATCTATTCAAAGCCTCTTAGTTTTCACTTCCTCTTCGAGTGAAGTGCTTCTGACACCTCAACTCTGAGTTCAGTGAGAGACCTCTTATGTGACACAGCATTTACCGTCTCAAGTGAGCAGACCAGCCTCTGCTTGATATGGAATTGTACCGGCCTAAGAAGACTGCCTCCTAGGGAAGATTTTCACCTTGCACTTACATTTAGTTCAGTTAGAAAGTATATCTGGCCAGATATATGTGTTTGCTCATACCTGTAGCCCCAGTGCTTTGGGAGGTGGAGGTGGGTAGATTGTTTGAGCCTAGGAGTTCAGGACCAGTCTGGGCAGCATAGCCCCATCTCTATATGAAAGAATTCAAAAATTAAGCCACCTACAATAACTAAGCAATCATGTCAGTAATTGTTTAAATGTTTTACACCCTTGAGCCTAGAGAACATCACATGAATTCAAGAGTGATCCATCCAGTTTGCTGCTTGGACTTGAAAGCAGGGTGAGATTTGGGGTGACTGAGATATAAGAAGCTTTTCTAGGCTTCATTCTAGCAATTTAAAACTAGATTCTTACTGGTGTTTTGTAGCATACAAGGAATCTTACAGCCAAAAATATTATTCCAGTCACCAGTGCCTAAAAATGCTTTAGAGATTTCTATTTTTGCCCCTCACCCCCTCAAAACAAAACAAAACAAAAGACTATCTGCTTCACCTAAGACTACCTGGAAAATGTGACTCTGCCTACTGTGGGCCTCTGTTGAACCATCTTGTAGCCCCCAAAGTTCTGTTACCAGGCAGCACTTGTGTCTTTCCAAGCACTTACTGCCCGTGTGTAAGCCCTTGCCTTGTCTGTCCCTGCTTACAAGGGCTTCGCAGCAATCTTGAAGGCCCTCACAAGGTTTTTGTGCCTTTTGCTTATTGACATTCATGGGTACAGTCCCACCTCTATAGAAGCAGTCACCGGCCTATGAACAAAGCCACCACAAGTTGTGTCAGAAAACCATATGCCCTAAGACTGCAAGCATCTTGCCCAGGTTCAGTAGTTAAGTATAAAAGGCGGCTCAGAATAGTCCTCTGCAATCCGGAAAATGCCCTTCTCTCTTACTAAACAAATCCCAAGGCTGAGAATGACAGGATCTGTTGCCACCAAAAGCCTCTCCTTGTAAATATATAGTTCTCATACATATGATCTTTTGTTTTTAGTTCTTTAACATCTAAACCCATGCCACAATTATTTGTGTCTCTGAAAATTTGCTCTGGAACTTTAGACTCCCCCACTCCCTCCCGACTTAAATCTCCATACGGAGGAAGGCATATGCTTGTTCATAAATCCTTCTACCAGCAGAGTTGCATCCAGGGGGAAGAGCATGGAGCTAAGTTTAGCATGGAGCCAGGCGCGGTGGCTCATGCCTGTAATCCCAGCATTTTGGGAGGCCGAGTGGGTGAATCACGAGGTCAGGAGATCGAGACCATCCTGGCCAACATGGTGAAACCCAGTCTCTACTAAGAATACAAAAATTAGTCGGGCATGGTGGCACGTGCCTGTAGTCCCAGCTACTTGGGAGGCAGAGGCACAAGAATCACTTGAACCCGGGATGCAGAGGTTGCAGTGAGCTGAGATCGTGCCACTGCACTCCAGCCTGGGCAACAAAGTGAGACTCCTTCTCAAAAAATAATAGTAATAATAATAATAAGTTTAGCATGACTCAATTATTCTTCCCAAATTTACCAATCACATAAGGCATGTCACTTCTTCCAGGGTGGAGTGAGTTAAGGAGCAGAAGGAGGAACGGGAGTAGGAGTTGCATGCACATGGAAGAAAACAAGTGTCTCCCCAACACAACCATTCATTAATTTATTCAGGCAAATGAAAAGTTATTCTGTTCAATTAGATTTGCCATATTTAGCAAATTAAAATATGGGACTCCTACTTACATTTGTATCTCAGATAAACAGTGACTACTTTTTAAATGTAATTATATCCTGATATGGCTCTGTGTCCCCACCCAAATCTCATCTTGAACTGTACTCCTATAATTCCCGTGTGTTGTGGGAGGGACCCAGTGAGAGATAATTGAATCATGGGAACCGTTTTCTCCATACTATTCTTCTGGTAGTGAATAAATCTCACGAGATCTGATGGTTTGATTAGGGGAAACCCATTTCACTTGGCTCTCATTCTCTCTCTTTGCCTGCTGCCATTCGTGTAACTTGCTCCTCCTTGCCTTCTACCATGATTGTGAGGCCTCCCCAGCCATGTGGAGCTGTAAGTCCAATAAACCTCTTTATTTTGTAAATTGCCCAGTCTTGGTATGTCTTTATCAGCAGCATGAAAACGAACTCATACAAATCCCAAGTATTGTATGGGACATAATTATAGTAAAAATTATTTATTTTTTATTTGAAATACAAATTTAAATGAGAACCTTGTATTTTACCTGGCAGTCCTCTACTGAGTGAAAGGCACTGTGCCAAGGTGCTAGAATAATGTGAATATGACGTAGTCCCTGTCTTCAGAGACAGAGGTAGAAAAATGTAACACTTTTGGCTACAGATGAACAACTAAATTCAAAATACTCTTTTCTGAGCATATCTTTCCAACCACAGGAAACAACAGTTCAGAGTCATCAACAACATCTTCACCTTTGAGCACGAAGTGAATTTGAGGTTTATTCATGTTTCGAATTAGTCTGAATTGACACACTGAATCTTGAAGCTATCCATATCCCACTGAACCTTCCTTTTGTTGATGACCATTCTGTTCTCAGAAAAATGAAAAATAAGCCCTAACCACTTCCTTCCCTAAAGATGCTTAGATCATTGAGAAATACCATCAAAGGGACAGGATGTTTCAATTCACTGTGATCAGCTCTGGGGTGAAGGAAATCAAAGTGTTATTGATGCACATGAGAGGAACACCCAGTCCAAATGTGGGAGGTCAGAGAATGCCTCTCAGTAGAAGTGGCAGCATACTCTACAATTATTAATGGACCCTGTACTATGGATTAATTGGGTACAATTTTAATAAATAATTTAGTTTAATTTAAATAAATTGATATAACCAATACATCTTCTCCAGAATATTGGAGAAATCTCTAACCAGGAGTGACTAAGAACACATTGAAACACATCCAATCCTCTTCTATTGTCATACTGTTCCTTACTGCTTGTTGGTCGTTCATTCAGCAAGTCCTTATTGACAAATTGGTATGTGACAAGTGATCTGTTAGGCATTGAAACAAAATAAAGAACAAACCAGGCTTGTTCCCAAACCTTGCAATACTATCTAATGAGAAAAACAGGTATTATACAATCACATAAATATAGAGAGAAAGATAAAATTTGGTGAATTCCATAGGAGAAAGAACATAATAATATTCGTTTAAAAAAGAGGACCCTCTTTCCATTACATGCCAAGGTTGGGCACCCTGAGGATGGGACATTTGATCTGAGATCATCTTCCATTTCTAATGTAAAGGTCTCTGAATGATGACAACTTTATCCTGGTAGGTAGATTCCTAAGAATGGCTTGCCTCTAAGTCTAAAACATGCATTCCTAACAGAAGTGATATCACCCTCAAAGAGGCAAGAATTGACTCTTGGGAAGATTAAAAAAACCTAATTTTTTAATGTATCAAACACAGCTGTACATGCAGCACATAAACATATAAATAGTATATTTGTGGTATTAAATTTTCATGGAAAAAGGGGGTGGCTAAAACCAAAAATGTCTAAAAAAGATCCTTAGGGGAGCAATAATGAAAAAATGGTTGAGAAACACTGGTTCAGAGTTTTTATTCAATAGTCCCTCAAACAGTATTTACTGAAGGCATGCTTTCAAGAAAGAACAGTTAGAGGTGCAGGGGATATAATAGGTAAGAAAAGGGGTCCTTAAATATTAGTGGGAAAGAAGACGCAAAAGCAAACAAGGAAATAGAGAAAATAATTGCAAATTATTATTAAAACTGTGAAAAAAACACAAAGGACTTGAAACAAAATAATGGGGTGGAACCTCTTTGATTGCAAAGTGAGGGAAGGCCTTTCTGAGAAGGGCTTTGGCTTTAAAAACGGTGGTACACTTGCTGATTTATCTCCTAATTTGCAGATCTGGGTGAGATTACGAGCAGTCCCTAATTTGTAAATTTGTATTATTTTCCTGTTCAGAAGCCTCATGACAACTTATGTGAAAGTCAAAAAGGCATATGCTTGACACATCTTGACTGTGTGACTCACACCACGCTCATTAAGCTTGCTTACATTAGGAGCTGCATGCGGAAGCAAAGGCTGTGTGAAGACAAAGTAGTGAAGGGGTTTTCCATGTGAAAAACAAAGAAAGAATTATTTGAATATTAGCAAATCCACAACTTCACATTTCTAGAGAACCCAGGCACAGCCTTGGAGACATTACTCCTGAGAGACTGCATTTGTTGGAAGATGAGCCCCAACTTCTAAAAATGTATCACTACCAGGATTGAGATACAAACAGCATTTAGGAAGGTAGCCACGTTCACATTTTCAGAGCCCAAAGCAAGATATGTTACTAAGCTCTTCTTCCCTTTTCTAATTCTTGCAGGTCTGATCTGAGTAGCAGCTTCCTGCCCTCCTTCCTGGAGATAAGTCCGGCTTTTGGTGAGAAAGACTTTCCCTGCCCTCTGCCCGGCCGATGCCCATGCTTCTGTGGCTGCTGCTGCTGATCCTGAGTGAACAGATGGACTATAATGGGACCAGGGCCTCCGTTCCTAAAGGTGACCAGGGAAAAACTCAAGGAGCTTCTATCTCTGCTTCTACTTGGGGTTCAGAGACAGATAGCAAGGGATGAGAAGTGAGCAGAGCTGGGTTCCCAGGACAACCAAGAGGCTCCAAATGCAACCATCAGAGCAAGCCAGATATCCTGCCCTTGGTTTCTCATCCACTGCTTTTCTCACCTCATAGGAAACTTGGATTTTTCCTTCTGCCAAACCACAACTCTATATCCCACCCTCCCTCTTAAGCCTCAGACTAAATAATTTTTCAGATAAACAGTTACTTCTAAAAACTTAGGCATGTGAAGGAAGGTCTACTGAGAAACATCACTCTTTTCTAGAAGTTTTAAGCCAAAATTTAATCAGAGATTGAAAAAGTGAGAGGAACAATAGGAAGCCCAAGGAACGAAGGGAGCATAAACCATTTCTGCAAGTCTTTGTCTGCCCCTGCACTCAGAGAAGACGGGGAGAGAATAAAGTGTGCCATGGCCAAGAAAATAATAGCAGAGATGAGGTCAGGCCTTTGACACAAGCCATCACGTTTGTAAAATAATTTATAGGCCATTTGTTTGTTGCTTAGGGGCTCTGGGTGATATAAAAAGGGAGCAAAGAAGTGATAAGGAAAAACAAAAGAAGCGGTTGTGGTTAGGTTGTTTAAAAATGTTTTAGAGAGTGTCTGATTGTCATTTTCTGCTCCCTCACAGCTCCTAGAAGAGAACAATCAGGTAAGTTTCTCCTTCTCTCTGCCCCTCTGGTCTCTGTATATGGGTGCCCTCAGCCCACACAGCCTGCCCCAACGCTTGCAGGGATGCATCCCATCAGCAGTGCTGATGCTCTGGGGTCACATCTGCTACTACATTGGGTGAACAGAGCCTCCTCCGACTTTTTCAGTCTCCAGGATTTTTTTCCCCTACATTACCAGGATTCCTCAGAGTAGAGGAAGGAAACATTTGCAGAGCAAAGGGCAGAGGCAAGAGGCTGATGATGAAGGAATCTCATCTCTGATCTCCATATTCTCTAATACATCGCCTTCTGAATGTCCAAGCTAGTGCTGGTATCAAAGGACATAGAAATAGCTCCCATTCATGGAGGAAGATGCTACAGCAGAATCCTTATAAATCTCCAAAAAGAGCTCATGCCACTGCCACACCTCACTTCCATGCCTGTCAGTCAGTTGCAATTCCACACACAAGTTTGACTTCTCAAGCAGCCCGTCCTCCTCCATTTAAATTCTTTATGTTCCTCCATTGTTTACTGTGCCCAACTTACATGGAGAGTAAAGTTGCCTTCCCCACAGACTCTCAAACTAAGAAAGATATAAAAGTAATACAAGTGAGAAAATCTTATTCATTAAGTGTTAACAAGTAGGAAGTAATTTTCTGGAGTCTAGAAACTACTTCTGAGGTATATACATCCCAGGTTCACCTTTATCTGGACAGAAATGCATAGGACAAGAGAATTTCAGAATCAGCCACATTCTGAGGCCTTCACAGTGTTTGCCCAATGGCAAATCACATCTCCTGAGCTTTTCTAAGGCAATGCCAGGAACCCGAGACCTCTCCCCTGTAATACCCATCTGCTCACCTCCAGAAAATGGGTGAGGAAGAACAGATTCTTTCCCAGGCATTTCCCCAGGTTATTTCTGCTCCATTTTCCACCCTGGTCCTGACTGGAAATTAGTCCAGGAAAACTCCTGACTGTAGGTTGGGCTCCCACTGTGCTGTGCCCACCTCCCATTGACCTTCCTCTGCCTTTATCTTTCTATTTCCTGTTTAGGGGTAGCTCCAAAAGCTGTACTTCTCCTTGATCCTCCATGGTCCACAGCCTTCAAAGGAGAAAAAGTGACTCTCACATGCAGGGGAATATCACAGTCCCCAGCCCGCGGAGACACGTTTTGGTATCGCGATGAGAAGCTATGGAAAATACAACATAACGCGATCCAAATTAGGGGGTCTGGAAATTACCAATGCAAGACCCAAGGATCCTCCCTCAGTGATGCTGTGCATGTGGAATTTTCACATGGTGAGGAATGGAAGGGGAGTGTCTAAAGTGTCAAGCCGCCAGGCAGAATGTCTGAGGGCTGGGTTAATGCAGGGATCCCAGGCAAAGTTGTAAGCAGACATGGGGATATTTGATGCGCTGACCCTACTGGGGAAAATAAAGAGATAGGGCAGCAGCATGATGTTGGATTGTCTATCTATTCCCCTCCAAAGAAGTATGGGTGACCCAGTGGCCATCAAGCACAAAGAGGTTTAGGTCTGGGATTCCCCTTTTTGTAAAGACATGTGAGGATTTCTCAAGAAAGTTTTCTGGGAATTGGTTCGCTCTCCTGGGGAAAGGAAGAATAAGGTATTGGAGCCACATGACAATGTGGGTGGGGGCCATTTGCAGGTGTGTATAGAACTATGGCTCTTGCCTCATGGGCGGAAATGGGAGTGAAGGCAGAAGCAACAGGGTATAAACTGAGTGTGCTCCTGTGCTCTTTGCAGACTTGCTGATCCTGCAGGCTTCGCATCCTGTCTTTGAAGGAGATAATGTCACCCTGAGATGTCAGGTGAAAGAAGATGAAAAAGCTCATGAAAAGGTTTACTACAAAGATGGAAAACAGCTTCCTAATAGTTATAATTTAGACTTCATCATAGTGAATTCAGTCTCCAGGGATAATAGCAAATATTATTGTACTGCTACTTGGAGGATACTTTCCATAGTACCAATTAAACGAACTTCAAAAAGCCTAAATATCCAAGTTCAAGGTAATGGCTAGATTCCTGTGGATTATTGGGTTTGGTAGGGAAACTGAGGATAAAGGGAAGGTGTTTATCAGTGGGAATTTCATAAAAAGGTTCCTATGGCTCAGCCATGGGAAGGAGATTTTTCTTTCTGCATGCTTCTCTATCTCCTGATGGCTGGTGCTGAGAACAGAAGTGCATCTCTCTAGGAACTCTGAGCCTCACCACCCTGGGGACTATGTTTTTTTTCTTTTCATTAGAGCTGTTTCTACATCCTGTGCTGAGAGTCAGCTCTTCCACGCCCATAGAGGGGAGTCCCATGACCCTGATCTGTGAGACCCAGCTCTCTCCACAGAGGCCAAAAGTCCAGCTGCAATTCTCCTTCTTCAGAGATAGTCAGACCCTCGGATCAGGCTGGAGCACATCCCCCAAACTCCAGATCCCTGCCATGTGGACTGAAGACTCTGGGTCTTACTGGTGTGAGACAGAGACAGTGACTCACAACATCAAAAAAAGGAGCCTGACATCTCAGATACTTGTACAGAGTGAGTGTCCAAGTGGCTACACTTTCAGAGTCAGAGCTGGGGAGAGGAAGGCAGACCAGTGACAACTCCAGCACCCCTAGGATGGTAGACATAACAGAGAGGAGTGTCCAGCTATTCTGGTAATCTTCTCTAAGCTCAACATTGGTTTAACAGCCCTAGAACATTTTCTTCCACCTGAGTCAGGTAATAGTAATTATTGATCAGTTACTGAGTGCCTAACCCTATGGGGTTACAGAGATGTACAAGATCGGTTCTCTCATGAATCAAGAGACAACTAGAAGCATAGCTGAACACATGCAGTTTTGAGAGGCCCCTGTGGTGCTTCCATTTGGTGACCTAAACTCACAACAAAATAGTCAGAAAAGGGGAAGATGAATATGAATGGTAATAGTCAGAGAAAGATATGGAGGCATGGATGTAAATCTGGAGAAGTCTTGAAGAATAGGAGAAGAGTTTGGATTCTACTTTGATCTTCAAAATAGAGGATCTTCAGTGTTCTCTTTTACTTCGTGGTTTATTGATGCATCAAAGATTCCTTAGAGATAAACACATATAAAATGTGACCAGAAAACTTTGGGTTTATGGAGATTATGGACTTGTTGCCCACATTTCCCAAGGATGGGAATTGTTGTGGGAGTGAGAGGGATGTTGCTTCCTTTATAATAGTATACACAATTAATTTCTTATTTCCTACTTTGGGCTTCTGCCTGCTGCACCTGCTGCTATTGGCCTATTCATGGCAGGTCCAGCTTTCCCCTTGACCTTGATGTCCCCGCCATCAGGACCTTCACATGCCATCTTGTGTTCCCCCAGGTGTGCCTGTATCTAATGTGAATCTAGAGATCCAGCCCACCGGAGGGCAGCTGATTGAAGGAGAAAATATGGTCCTTATTTGCTCAGTAGCCCAGGGTTCAGGGACTGTCACATTCTCCTGGCACAAAGAAGGAAGAGTAAGAAGCCTGGGTAGAAAGACCCAGCGTTCCCTGTTGGCAGAGCTGCATGTTCTCATGGTAAAGGAGAGCGACGCAGGGAGATACTACTGTGCAGCTGACAACGTTCACGGCCCCATCCTCAGCAGGCGGATTCAAGTCACTGTGAGAAGTAAGTTTCGATTCTTTTCACACAGCCTCTAGTTGCAGGCCAGGGTTTAGGTTCTCTGTCAGCCACTAGGATCTCCTAAAAGAGGCATTGGGAGGGGGGGAGGGAGGGAAAGAAGGAGGTGGGGGAGAGAGAGAGAGAGAAAGAGAGAGAGAGATTTAAAAGCTATCCAAGAAATGGAAAGATGGCAAAATAAGTTGAAGGACCTTACTTCTTGTGGGGAAGACTGAATGGTGATGAAAACAAAATTACCCAGGAGTAACTCTCACTGTTTTGGGGAAATGCTTCTGATTGTTAGATGAGAAAAATGTGATCAGTGAGAAACAGAAACAATCAAGGGACAAGGGATGTATCGATTGCTACGCTCCTTGAGAGAGGTTGTGCATCTGTCACAAACATCAGAATCCTCTGACAGCCCTTTTGTCTCCCTCAGTTCCGGTATCTCACCCCATCCTCACCTTCAGGGCCCCCAGGGTCCAGGCTCTGGTGGGGGACCTACTGGAGCTTCACTGTGAGTCCCTGAGAGGCTCTCCCCCGATCCTGTACCGATTTTATCATGAGGATGTCACCCTGGGGAACAGCTCAGCCGCCTCTGGAGGAGGAGCCTCCTTCAACCTCTCTCTGACTACAGAACATTCTGGAAACTACTCCTGTGATGCAGACAATGGCCTGGGGGCCCAGCACAGTCATGGAGTGAGTCTCAGGGTCACAGGTAAGCAAGATATACCCACAGCAGTTAACAGCCAATGCAAGAGATCATGTCTTCTCAGAAATAGCTCCACTGGGCTATTTGCTGGTTGATATCCCAATAGACTTCCCGCTCTTTATGACTCTGCCTGGGAGTTCTGGGATTGTTCCTTGTGACTACACATTTAGTAACTTAGACCATTTCTTTTTTTTATTATTATTCCTCTATAATTGTCATCAACGACCATCCATATACCCCATTCTTTTTTTTTTTTTTTTTTTTTTTTTTTTTTCTGGTGGAGGCACGAAGTCTTACCAGAATACCAAATATGTGATGGGTCAGCAATTACTGACAAAGGAAAATTCTGAATTCCCTTGCCCAGGAAAAATTGACTGGATCATCCCTTGCCATAGTTTTCTGCCGCTATCTCAATCTAAATTTCCACTTGGCTCCCTGGATCATTAAAGTGTCTGTCTTCATGGATACCCACTTCTGTTGGTTCTCTGTCAGCCACTAGGATCACAGCAGCAGACCTCTTTCATGGCCTCTGGATTCTAATGAGCAATCTAACCTTCTCACTTTTTTCAAATGCCTTCTGATTGGGTCTTGTTTAAACTGATGCTCTCAGTATCCCCTAACAAAATTTTCCTTCAGCAGAGGCACCAGGACATCTCGTATTTTCCATGTCCAGCCCCGAAGAACCATTAGCAATGTGCCCAATCATTTCGAAGAGAACCTCCAGTCTAAGTCATGGTTATCCCAAAGTGCTCAGCATTTGGAGGATGGGAGAGGGCACTGGGAACTAGGAAAAGGTGGCAAAATAAGAGAGATATGGCAATAATTATCAGTGACCCAAACCCGTACATTCTCAGGATTTTGCCATGGACTCTTGTTCTCTAATGATTCCAAACTATTAGAACACTTATGACATTTTGGTTAATAATAATCCTTCCTATAGGCCAAACTTGGGTAATGATTTAAGGAAGTATTAAAATCTGGGAATGCCAGACAGTGTGCTGAAACAAAGACTCCAGTTTCAAACAAGAAAATATCATTTGTTTAACCTTGAATAAGTCTTCTTACCAGTCTTGTGCTTATTTTCCTCTCTTATAAACTAATTGAGTCAGCAAATCATGGGGGTGCAAGAATTCTGGATATCACACCACTCTCCATCAAAATTGTTTAACACACACCCCACAAATGTGTATATTAATAACATATTTGTGTATTAATTATATACATGTACTACTGTATTAACTTAATGGGCACATTGCAAAACAAATAGAGAAATAGAAATTAAATAAGGGGCAGGGTGCAGTGGCTCATGCCTGTAATCCTAGCACTTTGGGAGGCTGAGGTGGGCAGATTACTTGAGCTTAGGAGTTTGAGACCAGCCTGGGCAACATGGAGAAACCCCTGTCTCTACAAAAAAACCACAAAATTCAGTTGGGCATGGTGGCATGCGCCTGTACTCTCAGATACTTGGGAGGCTGAGGTGGTGGGAGGATGGCTTGAACCCAAGAGGTTGATACTGCAGTGAGCCAAGATTGTCCCACTGCACTTCAACCTGGGCAACAGAGACCAAGTCAAAAAAGAAAGAAAAGAAAGAAAGAAAGAGAGAAAGAGAGAAAGAAAGAGAGAGAGAAGAAAGAGAGAAAGAAAGAGAGAGAGAAGAAAGAAAGAAAGAAAGAAAGAAAGAAAGAGAGAGAAAGAGAGAGAGAGAAGAAAGAAAGAAAGAAAGAAAGAAAGAAAGAAAGAAAGAAAGAAAGAAAGAAAGAAAGAAAGAAAGGAAGAAAGAAAGAAAGAAAGAAAGAAAGAGGAAGGAAGGAAGGAAGGAAGGGAGAAAATATTTTTAAATCTTTGATTTAGAATACTTGACTAAAATTATTATAATTGAATATGCTTCATTTACTTTGAAAATCTTAGTTTACTTATGGTGGTACAATTATTTGAGGTTTGGTTCTGAGTTTGGCCTTATTCCTATTAGTTTTAGTGTCTGTTACTGCTTAAAGCTTTATCTTACCAATATATCTAGATCCAAGTGGAAGCAGATCATCACTGCTGCTCTTTCAACTCCATTATACTCATTTTTCAATCCCATAGTCTAATTATGCAAGGCTTTTCATTGCAATTTGGTTAATAAGTTTATATTTTTGTTGATGTTTATTAGTTGTTCTTGTAAAGTAAGTGGGAAGTGCTGCATGTAGGATTTCCTTTTTTTTTTTTTTTTTTTTTTTTTGAGATGGAGTCTTACTCTGTTGCCCTGGCTGGAGTGCAGTTGCACTATCTCAGCTCACTGCAACCTCCACCTCTCAGGTTCAAGCAATTCTCCTGCCTCAGCCTCTCTAGTAGCTGAAGCAGGCCACCATACCCTGCAATTTTTTTGTATTTTTAGTAGAGACGGGTTTTCATCATGTTGCCCAGGCTGGTCTCAAACTTCTGAGCTCAGGGAATCTACCCGCCTCAACCTCCCAAAGTGCTAGAATTATAGGCATGAGCCACCACGCCCAGCCACTGCATGTTGAATTTCTATCGAATGTGTTTAAACTTTGGAAGAGCTATAAGCTGGTTGCCATGTTCTGTTTCCATGGATTTTTAAAGGTGCAGATATAAATTTTTAAAGTTGACTTACTTACATTTTTCTGGTAATAAGACCACATAGAAATGTAAATATTTTTAAACAACTATTTTCCAAAATATTATCTCTATAGCATGAGTTTAGAAAAGCATTAACAATATGAGTACTGTTAAAGGTCAGTTTTTAAAGTGTTTGCTAAGTATTAACATTGTCAGTAGCCACTGATCACCAAAAAGACAACAAAAATTAAATACTGATCTTTCTTTGCGGAAAACGCGTAACTTATCTTTACATTTAATTCCTCTTTTTAGAACTTTGTCACAAAATAAATGAACTTTCATGTGATACAAAAAGGTTTGAGGTTGCTTCCAAATCTCATCACAAAGCATTGTAAAGTTTTTATGATTTGGCCAGGCACAGTGGCTCATGCTTGCAATTCCAGCACTTTGGGAGGCCAAGGAAGGATTGCTTGAGCCCAAGAGTTTAGACAAGCCTGGGCAACACGGCGAAACCCTGTCTTTACTAAAAATACAAAAAAAATAGCAAGGCATGGTGGCAAAATCCTGTGATCCCAGCTACTCTGGAGGCTGAAGCAGCAGGATCCCTTGAGCCCAGGAGGTCAAGGCTTCAGTGAGTCATGACCGCACCACTGCACTGCAGGCTGGGCAACAGAGTGAGACCCTGTCAAAAAAGAAAAAGAAAGAAAGAAATTAAATTTAAAAATATATTTTATGATTTAAATTGAAATCATCTGTAAAAACACTTAAGTAGCCAATTAAAAGGGCATTATGTTCCATATGTTGAGAGTTAACCAACAAACCAAGGCACTGCTCTCCCACTCTCTGTGCCTGGGTGGCCCTGCCATCATAAGAAACCCTGTCATATCCCAATATACAATGTGACATCTACCTGAGCAGGAGCACCACCATGAATATTAGTAAAGCTGAATATCTTTTTAAATTTCAAGCTCAAAAAGAAATACTCTTAAACATTGTCATATTTTCTCCTTACACTTCAATCGGGTGTCTTACAGCCCATGTTGGAGACCACTTAAGTTGACCATAACCATGGTCTTTTTCAGTCTTCAAATTCTTTGATTTTAGGGGAATATGCATTCAGAACTGGGGTCCCATGAGCCCTAGAGGAGGGGATGCAAGAGGTTGTAAATCTCTCTTCCCAGAATACGAACACCGAGAGACATGGGTGAAAGGCACAGTGAGATCACAAAGCACCATATAAAAGACTCACCCCTGAGGCCCTCTGCATCCCGCCCAGGTCACTTCATATTGCAGAGGCTGTACGAACGGGACAAATTCAAACCATCGGTTTCAATTTAGCAAGAACTCTACACTTCCAATATCGGGACTTGGCACCTCTATCCTGATGAGGCAGCTGGTGCCATCTTTCTTGCAGCCAGCAGATGGCTCGTTTTCAAGTTTAATCATTGCCATTCAGTGAATAGTTTCCACATTCACACTCATTCCTTTTAGCCAATCTCCAATGGAAAGCAGAACTTAAGATCCTTACCAAGCTACCCTTGCCAATAAAGCACACAGCTTATATCTAAAGCACTACACACAGATTGGTTCATCCAGTTTTCCTCACAACTTTGCAGAACCAGCAATCTTACAGTTTACATTCCATATTAAGGGCTTTCTATTCTTCCCACTATGCCATTTCTTTAATTGTTCATTAAAATGGAAATCATTGTTGCTAGAGCTATATCTGGATTTTTTGTGATAGTTTGGTTCAATTCAGTTTTCCATTCAATCACCAATTATTGAGCATAAATTTTACATGCCAGGCAAAGTTCCAACAGCCATAAATACACCAACGAACAAACAGATAATTCTCCATCCTATTGGGGAATCATATGAAACGATGATAGATGATGTTGATGATAGATAGATAGATAGATAGATAGATAGATAGATAGATACATAGATACATAGATACATAGATACATAGATAGACAGATGTTAGTGCTAAATGCTCTCTAGAAAAATAAAGCAAGGTGATTAGGTAGAGAGTAATGGGTCTTGCTTTAGATAGGTATGGAAGTTTCAGTCTTAGAGCTAAGATTCAGGTGAAGGAATGTTTAGAAACCTTGATTTTAGTTATATTTTTATCAATAATAATAACCAATTTTTATAGTACTTTATATACAATTTGATTTTTATTACAATAGCTTGAGATATAATGTATCATTAGCTCAGTTTTACAGAGGAATAAACTAAGACTTAGAGAAATGAAAAAGTTCTTAAACAGTCAAGCTTATAGAGCTAATAAAGGATAGAGACAGGATTGAAGCCCAGGTTCTCCAGAATCCAGGTGCATGTTCCTGCAACTCAACTACGCTGCGTATTCCTTTATTAAGTTCTCTTGTATACCTACTTAAGCAAAACTGCCAGTGAACTATTTTTCCTCCCTCAGTTCCGGTGTCTCGTCCCATCCTCACCCTCAGGGCTCCTGGGGCCCAGGCTGTGGTGGGGGACGTGTTGGAGCTTCACTGTGAGTCCCTGAGAGGTTCCTTCCCGATCCTGTACTGGTTTTATCACGAGGATGACACCTTGGGGAAGAGCTCGGCCCACTCTGGAGGAGGGGCATCCTTCAACCTCTCTCTGACTACAGAACATTCTGGCAACTACTCATGTGAGGCTGACAATGGCCTGGGGGCCCAGCGCAGTGAAGTGGTGACATTCAGTGTTACAGGTAAGTTAGTAGTACCTGGGCTAGAGGTCACCATTATGGTAAATAAAATAGTTATCTGACAGATTGTACAAATTCTACCAGCAGCAAGGAGGTTTTGAACATGCACCCCAAGGCTTGGGACTTCTGGAGATTGGTATTGATTTTATATGGGAGAGGGAAAGGAAATACATTTTAATCTTAGATGCTGGCAAATACCTTTCATGTGCTATAGTTTTGAAAATTACAAATGACGCTACAGGAGGAATCAGAAACTGGAACATACTCACTCTACTTGCATGATTTTGTCTATATCCAAAACCTGTGCCACTGGAACTCAAGTACAGCTCCCTCCACTCAGGAACTTCCAGGAACAGAACAGGCCTTACCACTGCGGGAGTCACGGGGCTGGTGCTCAGCATCCTCAGCCTTGCTGCTGCTGCTGCTGCTCTGCTGCACTACGCCAGGGCCCAAAGGAAACCAGGTGGGTGTCTAGGTCCTACCCTGTGATGTGATTTTGCTGTTGCTATAATAATTTGAAGTTGTCTGGTGCATCCTATAAAGGTCAATTATTCCCTTCCAAGTACTAGGCCCTCGGTTCCACTACTCACTGTCGCTCTGTAGGCAACTGTAGCAAAAACAATAGAATAAACTTCTCAATAAAATTTTTACCTCTTGTTTAATTTGAGATTTATATTAGGTAGCAGAGTTTTGCTTCCAATTAAAAATTAGAAAATTAATTAACTCATGTTCTATCTCCCTAAGAAAGTCCTTCATTCATAACAAAAAATAAATAAATGATCATAGAGGTGACCATAAACTCCAAGATATATTTGAATACCAGCTAGATATAGTGAAATTGGATAAAATAAATAAAGAATGCCAAAAATGAGATTAAAAATTCAGTTTCCCATTGTTGTTAGTATATAGAAACACAGCTAATTTTAATATTAATTTTATATCCTGAAATTTTGCTAGACTCACTTTTTAGTTCAGTATCTCTTCTGTAGATTTCATCAGATGTACTATATAGATGATCATGTTGTCTGCAAATAATGATAGTTTAACTCTTTCCTTTCCAATCTTAATTTCTTTTACTTCTTGTTCTTGCTTAATTGCACTGATTAGAACCTCCTGTACAATGTTGAGTGCAAGTGGTGAGAGAAAATATCCTTGTCACATTCCAGATCTTAGGGGGAAAGTATTCAATCTCTCCCCATTACAGATTACTTTAGCCATGCATTTTTTTCAATGCTGTTTATCTGGTGGAGGAAGTCCCTCCTATTCCTAATTTGCTGAGAGATTTTACACAAATAAATTTTTGTAAAATGATTTTTCTACATTTATTGAGATAATAATGTGATTTTTAAAAATCTATTGATAAGGTGAATTTTGAATGTTGAAGCAGCCTTATATTTCTGGGGTCAACCCAACTGGATCATGATTGTTGATATGATTTGCTAAAATTTTGCAAAGGATATTTACATCCATGTTTATGAGGAATATTGGTTGTTAGCTTTCATTTCTAGAAATGCCTTTTTATGATTTGGTATCAAAAGAATACTCACTTAGTTACCACTTCCAGGATTTTTCATTCATTTTTATATAGCCATATTTTCACCTGGTATCAATTTTGTTCTGCCTGAAGGACTTTTTTTTTTTAAGCATTTCTTACAGTATGAATGTCTGCAAGTGAATTTGATTGATAATGTTTCTCAATTCCTCTATATCCTTACTGATTTTTTTGTCTATCTGATCTATCAACTATTGAGATATGGAAATTAAAATCTTTAACTGTAATTGTGAATTTATCCATTTCTTCTGCAATTCTATCAAGTTTTGCTTCCATAATTTGGAATTGCTCATTATTAGGTGGATAAGTGTTGAGAATTTTCATGTTTTTGATGAATTATCCACTTTATCCTTATGAAATGACCCTCTGTATCCCTGGTCGAATCACTTACTGTGAAACAGTCTTTGTCTAATATTAATGTATTAATATAATTAGTATTAGCATGCGATTTTTTCCCACCCTTTTGCTTTTAGCCTATTTGTACCCCCATATTTAAAGTTAATTTTTAATAGATACCATGCAGCTAATTCTTGCGGGGTTTTTTTTAGTTTAATATTATAATCTGCCTTTAAAATGAGGTGTTTAGACAATTTACACTAGTATAATTATTGATATGATTAGGTTTCATGTCTATTTTGCTATTTGCTATTTGTCACATCTATTTTTTTGCTTTACTTTGACTTATTTTTGGAATAATTGAGTGATTTTTTAATTCTACTTTACTTCCTTTGTTAACATAATAGCAATAACTTTTTAAAAATTTTCAACTTTTATTTTAGATGTAAGGGGTAAATGTGTGGATTTGTTACATGGTTATATTGCATGATATTGAGATTTGGGGTACAGATCCTGCCACCCAGATAGTAAGCATAGTACCCAATAGGTAGTTTTTCAACTCAGGCATTCCTCCCCATCTCCCCCATCTAGTAGTCCACAGTGTCTGTTGTTCCCATGTTTATGCCCATGTTTACTCAATGTTTAGTCCCACTTATAAGTGAGAACATGTGGTATTTGGTTTTCTGTTCTTGTGTTAGTTGGTGTATGATTATAACCTCCAGTTAAATCCATGTTGCTGCAAAAGACATGATTTCATTTTTTATGGCTGTGTAGTATTCCATGGTGTATATGTACCACATTTTCATCATCCAGTCTACCACTGGTGGGCACCTAGGTTGATACCATATCTTTGCTATTGTGAGTAGTATGGCAATGAAGTAGTATGGCATATGAGTGCATGTGTCTTTTTTTTTTTTTTTTTTTTTGAGTTGAAGTCTTGCTCTGTAGCCCAGAACTCCAGTGCACTGCACTCTGAACTCCAGTGCAGTGGCCTGATCCCGGCTCACTGTAAGCTCCGCCTCCCGGGTTCCCGCAATTCTCCTGCCTCAGCCTCCCACCTAGCTAGGACTACAGGCGCCCACCACCAGGCCTGGTTAATTTTTTGCATTTTTAGTAGAGACTAAAATTAGCCAGGATGGTCTCAATCTCCTGACCTCGTGATCTGCCCGCCTCGGCTTCCCAAAGTGCTGGGATGACAGGCGTGAGCTACCGCACCCGGCCGCATGTGTCTTTTTGACAGAATGATTTATTTTATTGTGGGTGCATACCAATAATGGAATTTACTAGGTTGAATGGTAGCTCTATTATAAGTTCTTTGAGAAATCTCCAAACTCCTTTCCACAGTGGCTAAACTAACTTAAATTCCCAACAGTGTATAAGCATTCCCTTTCTCCTCAGTCTCACCAGCACCTATTGTTTTCTGCCTTGTAAGTACTAGCCATTCTGACTGGTGTGAGATGGTATCTGATGGTGGTTTTGATTTCCATTTCTCTGGAGATGAGTGATGTTGAGCATTTTTTCATGTTTGTTGGCCGCTAGTTTGACTTCTTTTGAGAAGTGTCTGTTCATGTCCTTCACTTATGTTTTAATGGGGTTATTTGCTTTTTGCTTGTTGATTTGTTTAAGTTCCTTACAGGTCTCAACATTAGACTTCTGTCAGATACATAGTTTCCTAATATTTTCCCCATTCTATAGGTTGTCTGTTTACTCTGTTGATAATTTCTTTTGCTGCGCAGAAGCTCTTTAGTTTAGTTAAGTCACACTTGTCAATTTTTGTGTTAGTTGCAATTGCTTTGGGAACTTAGCCAAAAATTCTTTGCCAAAGCTGATGTCAAGAAGCATATTTCCTAGGTTTTCCTCCAGGAATTTTGTAGTTTGGAGTCCTACATTTAAATCTTTGATCCATCCTGAATTAAGTTTTGTATATAGTGAAAAGTAGGGGTCTAGTTTCAATCTTCTGCATATGGCTAGCCAGTTATCCCAGCACCATTTGTTGAATAGAGAGTCATTTCCCCATTGCTTCTTTTTGTTAGCCTTGGCAAAGATCAGATGGTTGTAGGTGTGAATCTTTATTTCCGAGTTTTCTATTCCTTTCCGTCGGTCTATGTGTCTGTTTTTGTATCAGTACTATACTATTTTGATTACTGTAGGCTTCTGGTATAGTTTGAAGTTGTGGGGTGTGATGCCTCCAGCTTTGTTGTTTTTGCTTAGGAATGCTTTGGCTATTTGGGCTATTTTTTGGCTCCATATGAATTTTAAAATAGATTTTTCTAATTCTGTGAAGAATGATATTGGTAATTTGATAGGAATAACATTGAATCTATAAATTTCTTTGGGCAGTATGGCCATTTTAACAATATTAATTCTTCCAATCTATGAACATGCAATATTTTTCCATTTATTTGTGTTATCTTTGATTTATTTCAGCATTTTTTTTTTGTAGTTCTCACAGAGTCTTTTCACCTCCTTTATTAGCTGTATTCCTAGGTATTTCATTTTCTTTGTGGCTATTCAAAATGGAATTGTCCATTGATTTAACTCTTGGCCTGACTTTGTTGGTGTATAGAAATGCTACTGGTTTTTGTACCTTAATTTTGTGTCCTGAAACTTTACTCTTGGCAGAGTCTTGAGGGTTTTCAAGGTAGAGAGTCATGCAGTCAGTGAAAAGAGATGGTTTGACTTATTTACCTATTTGGGTGCCTTTTATTTCTTTCTCTTGCCTGATTGATCTGGCTAGGACTTTCAGTACTGTCTTGAATGAGTGTGGTGATAGTGGACATGCATAGTTGTTTCCCTTTTTCATTAACTAAAATTTTTTTTATTTCTGCATTAATTTTGATCTTCATCCAGGAGTTATTCAGGAGTAAGTTGTCTAATTTCCATGTATTTGTGTAGTTTTGAGAGATCTTCTTGATATTTATTTTTGTTTTTATTGCACTGTAGTCTAGGAGTATAGTCGGTATGATTTTTAAAAAATGTATTGATATCTGCTTTATGGCCGAGCCTGTCGCTGAACCTAGGATATGTTCCATATGCAGGTGAGAAGAATGTATATTCCACAGTTGCTGGATAGAATATTCTGTAGATTTGTGTTAGGTCTATTTGGTCAAGTGTCAAGTTTAAGTCCAGAGTTTCTTTGTCAGTTTTCTGCCTCGATGATCTGTCTAACTCTGTCAGTGGGATATTGAAATCTCCCACTATTATTGTGTGACTGTCCAGGATTTTTGTAGATCAAGAAGAACTTGTTTAATGAATCTGGGTGCTGCAATGTTGGGTGCATACATATTTAGAATAGTTAAGTTTTCTTGTTGGAAGTGATAATTATTTGTTTTGTTACTCTGGTGATTGCTTTAGGGTTTATAGTATATATCTTCAACTTATTGCTATTTTCAAGTGATATTATATTACTTATAGAAGGCTAGTCATACCTCCTACTTCCAAAATTACTTTTCTTTTTTTCCTCTCATTGTTTATCTGGGATGCCATTTTCTAATCTGTAACATACTAAAAGAGGACAATTGAATTTCAGTGTTGAGGTTATCAGTCAGCACAGCACCAGGAGAGAAAATTGACAATCATTTCACATGATACATGTGAATAGGAGCCCAGGTGATCTGTCCCCCAGACTTGGGGGAGTGTTATTTTAAATAACAAACTCACTAAGGAATTAGGATAGTTCACCAAGCAGAGGGTCTGTGCTCTTCTTTTCTCAAAATCTTGCTTACTGTACCTCCTCATAGCAAAGTATCCCTTCTCATCATTGGCAAGACTTCTCAGGAAGAAGCTCAGACCTTCTAAATTTTTCTAAAAGTGAAGGACTCTGCTTTTTGCCTGAGTGAATCACTCCTAAAAAGAATGATAGGTTTATTGACTCTATGGTAAATCTGGCTGTGTTGAAATTCCAGTAATAAAACTTGCCAACTTGATATTAGGCAAATAAATTAAACTCATTAAACTTCAGTTTCTTCATATATGAAGTGGTTATAATAATAACAGTATCTACCTTTTAGGTACTATGACACAACCTAGGTAAACTGCTTAACCCAGTGCTGGCCCGTATGTCTTTAAGGAATATTAGCTTGTATAATAAATAGCCACCTGTCTAGGTCTCAGTTTTCTCTTTTACAAATAAGGAGATAGACTGACTCCCAGATGCATTCTAGGTCTGAGCTAACCACCCACAGGACAGATACTGGTTATTAACTTATGTGAACTGTGATTGCTCTGAGGAGATTCAGGACCAGATCCTGATCATAACCCTCTAGCTTAACTCAGGAGGCCCATTCCCTGAGGAACAGGGAGTTACTCAGTTATTTTTCATGAAAGTCAAGGCTGCTATGTTTATTTTGAGCAACGACTTGTGTTCTCTAAGCCAATGAGACTGATATAGAGCCACAGATTTTAAAAAGGCAAAGGACAAGGATGGGAACCGGGAATAAGGCTTGTATTGGGGCAAGCCTGAAAGATTCAATATTTCAGTGATGATAGAAACCTGCCATATTTTTAAGTCTGCTAGGTTTGGCTTCAAGGATAGACTTCTAACTTCTAAAATTGTCAGTTTGTTATTTTTAAGTCCTCAATATACATACTTTGTTCAGTTGTTTAACAAATCTTTGTTGAATATTTTTAACTGCTGGCCATGACATCAGAAATACAAAAAAAAATTTAAGATGAGGTTTACAGCCTCAAGTAGCACATCCTTTCAAGAAAGAGAGAATGAGAGGGAAACAGAAATAAATAATTACAAAACAGTATAGTAATTTTAATATTACATGGTCTTATGTGCATGGAGACAGTTTACTTAATCCAGCCTGTTGGCATGCTCTGGAAAAAAGATAAATTGGAGTTAGCCAAGTGAAAGAGAAGGAGAGAAGAGGTGTGGAAAAGCCATTATATACCCAAACGATTTGCAGTTTAGTGTTGCTGGAATAGACTTGCAGGGGTGAGGGGTCACAGTTAGAGAAAAAGAAGGTAGAGTTTATCATGGTAGCCCCATTGATTCATATTAGTGAAGGAATTCTGTATCAATTTTGAGCATCCCTTGGCCCCTCTAGGCCTCAGTCTCCTTGTTTCCACCTTGTAGGGCTGCAGTCAGGATGAAGAAGTGGGTTTGGGGGGAGCACCTGACCCAGGTTGTGACCTATTCAGTCACTACTACTTAGAGTTGCTATTCACCTGTTACTGATTGAAAAATGATTCAGAATAAGTGTGATTCTAGGCAAATGCCTCTCAAGACCCCATGTTCCTCACCTATAACATAACATAGCTGGAGGAAGGAGGGTAGAACTGGATAATCCTTGAGATTTGCCATAGCTTAGATCTAGAATGAATCTGATTTCTAGGAAAAAACGTTCTAACAGAGTTCATGATCTACACAGCTCACTTACCACCCAACCTTCCTTTGTTTGTTTTGCAGGAGGACTTTCTGCCACTGGAACATCTAGGTGAGGTCTCTGCTTCTTGTGCTGCCAACATTTTCATGATTTATTTATATGCACAAGACTTGTTTATGTTTTTTAAAAATATGAATGGATTTCCTAGTAGCATTTTTACATTCTTACAAAATGAAAAAGTAGATATAAGTGAATGTCACTTTCATTTATATTTGTGAATGATATTCACTGTGTCTACTTAAACACAGAATACATGTTATTGGCTATCTATGTTAATTTATCTACTTCCTTAAATGTGTTCCAGCAGAGACTTGACCACTAATATCTTAATGGCATTACCTTTCATAGGGCTGCAGGGCATTCATTTCCTTCTTCCTCATTCCTCCACTCATTTGGGAAATTATTATTGAATGCTGGCAATGTTCAATTCGCAATATTAGCTGCAGAAGGAAATGAAATTGGAAAAAATCCACTTTACTTGAAGAGCTCGCGTGGCATCTTGCAGGAAAGGTAGATTATTGTAATATGAGGTGGAAAATTGAAAGGGACCTTCTACAAAAGACAAGGTTTAAGTTCTGTAAGAATGCAGAGGTCTTTGCATCTCAGTGTTTAATCATTTACATCTTCAAAAATAACATTTAAAATTAGTCAAATATGAGTTTTTGCCTTTCAAAGAAGCGCTGAGGCTGCCTTGCCCTCTGGCCTTGCCTTGGCTGTCCTGTTTTGTAATGCTTCCCTGGGCTTCATCTTGTGCCATACGTCTTCTGACACTTTATCAAAAGAGCCAAACAGAAGCAGACACGATATTTTTACTTGAATCATGCTGTACTGGAAGACTTCCTGGATACCGAGTTCCCTGAAATTCTGTGTAACCCACAGATAGTTTTTTATCCATTTTCTCTCCCCCTCTGTCACAGTCACAGTCCTAGTGAGTGCCAGGAGCCTTCCTCGTCCAGGCCTTCCAGGATAGACCTTCAAGAGCCCACCCACTCTAAACCACTAGCCCCAGTGGAGCTGGAGCCAATGTACAGCAACGGTGAGGACTCCCTAGGGGGCAGAAGGCTCTAGGGAGGAGCCAGGGAGGGAAGAGAGATTGAATAACAGCCCGTGGCCCTGTCACAAATTTAAAAATGGCATTTCTAACATTAGACTGGGAATAGAAGGTGGTTATAAATTTGATGATTGGGAAGTAGAGTCTAAAATATGAGCTCTTGACTGCAACCAACTATGATACCTTCTCTCACAGTAAATCCTGGAGATAGCAACCTGATTTATTCCCACATCTGGAGCATCCAACACACAAAAGAAAATTCAGGTGAGATGCCTTTCAGGCAAATAGAGGTGAGGTGGCAGTGTTTTACTGAAACTGGTAAGGGGTCTTTGATCAGAGTTATTTCAAATACAAGTCCAACATGCAAGGCATTACTTGTCTCCCATATTGTCAGTTGTAGAATCTATCCATTTCTTCTTACCTTTACACACTGCCACCGTGATCCCATAAATTCTTTGAGGACAGACACTGTGACTTTTTCACTAATGTATTCACAGCATTTAGCCCAATGCTTGGAAACTGCAGGCCCCCTAAAATACTGTTTGAATTAATGAGTGAATAATCAAATGTGTAGACAATTGTCATTCTTTTAACTGTTCTCTTTATTTCTACTACTGTTCTCCTCCAGCCTTCCCACAATCTACTTCCAGCATGATCCCTTTGAGGTGCTCTATTGTTCACATCAGTGCCTAGATTAACTGCCCTCACTGACACCCATTCCAAAGCATGATCTTTGCCTTCCGCACGCTGGCTCCTCTTGCAAGCTTTGCCTAATGTTCTTCCCCTAGCCATACTGAACTCTTGGCATCTTTATGCTTGGTGCTCATGTTTCTTACTGGTCCTGAAATGTCCTTGCCTCTAGTCTACTTGGTGATCCCTACTCATATTTCAAGACATAGCTCAGGTAACACAGTGAAACTCACACTGATGCCAACTACCCTTTCGATATGCTAATCTGGGAGGAGCCATTTATTCTTTATGGCAACAACATAGTTCAATATGTATTTCTATCTTGGTGCCCATAATGCTTGTTGCATTTATTTCTATGTCCATTTCTCCCCTTCAAAATTATAGTATTCTTGATCACATGAACTGAGTTTCTGTCATTTATTTATTTATTTATTTATTTATTTATTTTATTTAATTTTTTGAGATAGGATCTCACTCTGTCACCCAGGCTGGAGTGCAGCAGTGCGATCTTGGCTCATTTCAACCTCTGCCTCCTGGGTTCAAGGGATTCTCCTGCCTTAGCCTCCTAAGTAACTGAGATTACAGGCGTGCATCACTACGCCCAGCTAAATTTTGTATTTTTAGTAGAGACAGGGTTTCACTATGTTGTTCAGGAGTTTCTGCATTTCTATCTCCTTATACCTTACCTAATGCCTAATAGAAGGCCATTGCTTAATGAATGCTTATTGACTGCACAAATAAATAAAAGAGATACAAAGAACCCCTTGGAAAGGTAGAAAACACACACACACTAAATTTTCTCAATGTTCCAATGCAACTCTTTGGCTTCCTGGGAAATTGCCATGTGGCCTTAGAATGCCAATCTCTTCTCTGGCCTCTTCCAATTTCCCTGTGCAAAGTGAAGTGACTCATATCTGCCTCCTTCTCCCAGAGGATCAATACAGCCCTAGAAGTCTGCAGTGGATTGGGGATGGTTGCCCCTCTGGGGTTAGAATGAGCAGAGGAGCAAGAAGGAAACTGTCATGAAAGTAGTTCTGGGTATTTGGTGGGCAGAGGAAAGTCTTTGTTAGTGTTTGTGCTTGGGAGAGTACTTTTTCTATGTGGGTTTGGAAGAATCCAACAGAGGAAACAGTCAAGAGGTCAAGCAAATCAAGAAGATTGGCTTGGAGTGCAGTGTGCGTAGGTTGTGAGTTGGATTATACTGCCCACAGTTTAATACTTTTCTTTGCTACTCCTACCCAACAGCTAATTGTCCAACGATGCATCAAGAGCATAAGGTGAGTCACATTTCTTGGCTTTCTTCCCTCTCTGGCCTTCCTCTCCTGTATTTAGGTACTTACCTTTTGTGGTTTTTTTCCACCAGGAACTCACAGTCCTCTATTCAGAACTGAAGAAGAAATACCCAGATGACTCTGCAGGGGAGGATTGCAGCAGAGGCAGGGCCCATGAAGATGATGAAGAAAATTATGAGAATATGCCACGTGCATTACTGGCCTCAGACCACTAGCCCCTTACCCAGAGTGGCCCACAGGAAACAGCCTGCACCATTTTTTTTTCTGTTCTCTCCAACCACACATCATCAATCTCTCCAGACTGCCTCCTACGAGGCTGGGCTGCAGGGGATGGGAGGCTGCGCAAAAGATCTGCAAATCTCCTCTGTGCCTGAGTCTGTGTGTTCCCTAGGAAAAGAGTGGGCAGCCTCTGAGCAAGCACTGTGTTATTTTCACAGTGGAGACACATGGCAAGGCAGGAAGGCCCTCAGCTCCTAGGGCTGTCGAATAGAGGAGGAGAGAGAAATGGTCTGGCCAGGGTTACAAAGGCACAATCATGACCATTTGATCCAAGTGTGATTGAAAGTTGTTAATGTTCTCTCTGTATAAACAATTTGCTCCAAATATTGTTTCCTTTTTTGTGTGTGTGGCTGGTAGTGGCATTGCTGATGTTTTGGTATATATGCTGTATCCTTGCTACCATATTGGGAACAGCCATAAGAAGTTATAGAACAAGATTTTAAGGTGACTCTATCTGAAGTGGATTTTTGTACTTACAGGGTGACATTCCCAACCAAATTACCCTTAGTTATAATGAAAAATAACCTCAGCATTTCATTAAAGGCTCTGCTAGTTTAATATGTGACCTCTATCCCTACTACAAAGACCTTATGTGTAAAAAATCACATTAATTGTAATTTTTGCTACATGACATAGTCTCATCATTTTCCATACATGATAGATTTCTAGTCAGTCAGTTTTATTCTTATAAGTACCCATTAACCCCGAGACAATAACCTACTATATCTATGTGGCTTCTCCCATTCTCTTCCTCTACCTCACTCCATCTGCTAAAAAACCATTCTAAATCTCATGTTCATTATTCCCATGCTTTCCTAATTCTATCATATTAATGTAACTATATGTTTTCCTTAATATGTTTTTATATTAGTTTTAACTATAAGTTAAAGACCATATTGTTGTAGATAATATTTTTGGTATTTTCTCTTCGTGTTCTATTTCTAAGATTCATCCATATGGTTGCATGTTGCTATAGTTCATTTGTTTTTATTGCGGTTTAGTATTTACTTGTGTAAAATATCTGTTTTAATGTTTTCCTAGCTATCACTGTCAAAAACTCTTTCCACAGTGTCTTGAATTTTTAATGTGACAAAAATGAAAATGTACCAACAATTTTTAGTGACTTCACCTCCATTCTGAAATCCTGATGTTTCCAAATATCTCTGAACACCTCAAGTCATAGGGACAACTGAGATTATATTAACATTAATCTCTGAATGTTGTTAATTCTAAGCCTTCACTTGGTTCATGTAGGAACACCAAGTCCTTTCAAAGCACCACATCTTTCTCTAATCAATATTCCTTGGAGTCCCTAAGGAATGTCTTACAAGCATTCAACCAATCACCATTTCTGGAGATACACTACAGGGTCACCATAAACTCTACTACCCTTGGATTCCATCACTATAGAAGCTGAGTTTCACCAGAAGGCACTTTTGTCCTCCATTACTACCAGCAAAGCCAGCTAAGCCACAGCTGCTGGCCTCAAAAAATGTGATGATCAATCCACACTGCTCCCACTGGCCTCTCTTACCCTTATCCTGGCCTTTGAGAGCAGGGCACGATGTCCTGCCTATACTGAGGTGCTGATCTCTGCCAGTTCGTGTTCATATTGGCATTAAAATTTTAAGTTCCCTTGAAGAGGGAGGAGGCAAATGTCTCTGTCTTCTATGTGATACACTCTGCTGTTTTTTTCTCTATGGTAAAAATATATAAACAGGTTTGTGTACTAACCACCAGACTGTACATGGAGGCTCTCCTCCTCTCACACCTTGCTGCTGATTTGGAATTACCTTGCCAGGTCCCTTTGTGCCTTATAGTGAACTTTCTCTAAGGGACCTCTCATCTTTTATCATTGTTTATCCATTTTCTAGATTTTTAATCCAGGAAAGGACAAAGTTCAAGATTTTCCATGTCTTTGTAACACTTAACCCTGTTCAAATCAGAGTATGTGAGTGGAAAGAGGAGTGAGTCCTAACTGTACATTTCAGATATAACAAAAGTGCAAATTCTGATTGCCCTGTAAAATGAATTATTCTCATGCATTGCTCTACTTGACTTTTCCCTTTGAATTCACAACTAAAAACCCATAGCCCAGAAATCTAAAAAACAGTAATTTTAATGGAGCCTTTGAAAATAAAAGACCATTGGAAAAAGTACCAGTTTCCAGTGTCTTTCTCACACTTACCCTTTTAGTATATCTTTACATCAGAGCCTATTCTCACTCATAGATTACCAAAGACAAAGCCACATGAGAAGCTTAGGTTTTGTCACTAAAGTATATTAAAAAGGTTATTTTAATTTTATCAAGATCAGATTTGGGTGGGGACACAGAGTGAAACCATATCATTCTGCCCCTGACCTCTTCCAAATACCATGTTTTCACATTTCAAAATACAATCATGCCTTCCCCATAGTCCCTTAAAGTCTTAACTCATTCCAGCCTTAACACAAAAAGCCAAGTCCAAAGTCTCATCTGAGATAAGGCAAGTCCCTTCCAACTAGGAGCCTGTGAAATTAAAAGCAATCAGTTACTTCCAAGATATAATGAGGGTACAGGCATTGGATAAATGCTTCAATTTTAAATGGGAGAAATTGGCCCAAACAAAGGGGCTACAGGTCCCATGCAGGTCCAAAATTCAATGGGACAGTCATTACATCTTAAAGCTCCAACATAATCTCCTTTGACTCCATGTCACATATCCAGGGCACACTGATGCAAAGAGTGGGCTTCCATGGCCTTGGACAGCTCTGTTCCTGTGACTTTGCAGGGTACAGCCCCCACCCTAGCTGCTTTCATGGTTGTCATTGAGTGTCTGCAGCTTTTCCAGGTGCACAACGCAAGCTGTCAGTGGACCTACAATTCTGGGGTCTAGAGGATGCTGGGCTCTTCTCACAGCTCTACTAGGCAGTGCCCCAGTAGGGATTCTGTGTGGGGGCTCCAACCCCACATTTCCTTTCTGCACTGCACTAGCAGAGCTTCTCCATGAGTATTTCATCCCTGCAGCAGACATCTGCCTGGACATCTAGGAGTTTCCATACATCCTCCGAAATCTAGGCAGAGATTCCCAAATCTCAATTCTTAAGTTCTGTGTACCTGCAGGCCCAAGACCACGTGGAAGCCACTAAGGGTTGGAGCTTTCACCCTTTGAAGCAATGGCCTAAACTGTATGTTGGCCCCTTTAGCCATAGCTGGGATGCAGGACACCAAGTTCTGAGACTGCACAAAGCAGTGAGGCCCTGGGTCTGGCCAACGTTCAATTCATCAAACTCATTCTCCATCTAGTTTTGTTCCCTTGGTGGTGAGGAGTCATGATCCTTTGGAGGAGAAGCAGCATTCTAGTTTTTGGAATTTTCAGCGTTTTTGCTCTGGTTTTTTCTCATATTCATGGATTTATCTATCTTTGTTCTCTGGTGTTGGTGACCTTAGGATGGGGTTTCAGTGTGGAAGTTCTTTTTGTTGATGTTGATGCTATTCCTTTCTGTTTGTCGGTTTTCCTTCTAACAGTCAGACCCCTCTGTTGCAGGTCTGCAGGAGTTTGTTGGAGGTCCACTCCACACCCTGTTTGCCTGGGTATTGCCAGCAGAGGCTGCAGAAGAGCAAAGATTGCTGCCTCTTTCTTCCTCTGGAAGATTTGTCCCAGAGGAGCACCCACCAGATGCCAGCTGGAGCTCTCTTGTATGAGGTGTCTGTCAAACCCTGCTGGGAGGTTTCTCTCAGTCAGGAGGCACAGGGGTCAGACTGCCATTTGAGGAGGCACTGTGCTGGGAGATGCACTGCTCTCTTCAGAGCCAGCAGGCAAGAACAAGTCTGCCAAAGCTCTGCCCACAGCAGCCGCTTCCCCCAGGTGCTCTGTCCCAGGGAGATGGGAGTTTTATCTAAAAGCCTTTGACTGGAAATACTAATGAATAAAACTGAAAAGGACACAAAAACGAAAAAAAAAATCATAATTAAGTTGGAAGAATTGATATTATTAGAATGGCAATACTACCCTCAAACAATTTACAGCTTCAATGCAATCCCTATCAAAATACCAATGACATTCTTCACAGAAATTTTTAAAAGTCTTACAATTTATGTGGAACCATAAAAGACCCTAATTAGCTGAAGCAATTCTGAGAAAAAAGAACAAATCTGGAGGCATCACACTGTATAACTTTAAAATTTATGACAAAGCTATAGTAACCAAATCAGCATGGTACTGGCATAAAAATAGACACACAGACCAATGGAGTAGAATAGGAAATCCATGTATGAATCCACACATTTATAGCAAATTCATGTTCAACAAATGTGATAAGAAGGACAACCTCTTTAATAAATGGTGCTGGGAAATTTGGTTAGCTATAATCAAAAGAATGAATCTTAGATCTGTATCTCTTACCATCCACACACAAAAATAGATTAAAGGCTTAAAGCTAAGACCCGAAACTGTGAAACTACTAGAAGAAAACATTGGGAAAATACTCCAGGACATCGGTTTGGGCAAAAATTTTCTGTGTAAAACCTCACAAGCACAGTCAATCAAAGCAAGAAATAGACAAATGGTATTCCATCAAGCTAAAAAGCTTCTGCACAGCAAAGGAAACAATCAGCAAGTGAAGGAAGACACAACCTATAGAATGGGAGAAAATATTTGCAAACCACTAATCTGACAAGGGATTAATAAACCAGAATTTATAAAGAGCTCAAACAACTCAGTAGAAAAAAAAAGCAAATAATTTAATTTAAAAATGTGCAAAAGATCTGAATAAACACTTCTCAAAAGAAGACATACAATGGCCAACAAATACATGAAAAATATGCTCAACATCACTAATCATCAGGAGAATGCAAATCAAAACTACAGCGAGGTATTATCTTACTCCAGATAAAATTGCTTTTATCAAAAAGACAGGAACTAACAGGTGCTGGTGATGATGTGGAGACAGGGGAACTCTCACACACTTTTGGTGGGAATATAAATTAGTAAAGTCACAACGGAGAATAGTATGTAGATTCCTCAAAAAACTAAAAATAGAACTGTTCTACCATCCAGCAATCCTGCTACTGTGTATATCCAAAAGAAAGGAAATCAATATATTGAAGGGATACTGACATTCCCATGTGTATCACAGTACTATGAACAATAGAAAAGATATAGAATCAACTTAAGTGCCCATCAACAAATGAATGAACAGAGAAAACGTGGCACGTATACACAATGGAATATTATACAGCCATAAGAAAGAATGAAATCCTGTCATTTGTAGCAACATGGATGGAAGTGGAGGTCATCATATCAAGTTAAATAAGCCAGGCACAGAAAGACAGTTATTGCATGTTCTCACTCATACATGGGAGCCAAAAAAGTGGATTTCATGAAGACAGAGAGTAGAATGATAGTTACCAGAGGCTGGGAAGGGAAAGGGAGAGAGAGTTATGAAGAGAAGTTGGTTAATGTGTACAAAAATACAGTTAGCTAGAAAGAATAAATTCTAGTATTCAATAGCAAAGTAGGGAAATTTTAGTGAAAATAAATAATAAATTATATATTTTAAAATAAAATAATATATTGAACATTTTAAAACATCCAGAAGAAATAAAATGTTTCCAATACAAAGCAAGATAAATGTTTGAGATGATGGATATCCCAATCACATGTCTTTGATTATTACACAGTGTATACATGTATCAAATATTACACATACCCCCAAAATGTACAACTATGATGTATTAATCTAAAACATACAAAAATATTCCTTTCTGTGTTTCCTAGAAATATTATAGTTTTACTTTTACACTTAAATCTATAATCCACTTAGAGTGATTTTTTTCATGTTGTGTATAGTGAGAAAAAAAAATATTGATTTGTTTTTCTTATAAGTACCCAGTTGGTCCAACACTATTTACTGAATAAACTTTATTTTGCCTCTTGTTAATTTGGGTTGTCTTCTTAGTATGTGGTTGCAGGAGTTATTTTTGGTGATGGTCAGTCTGGTCAACCACAAGGGGGACACAGAAGAGGCAAAGGGAAAAACAAGTTTCTTATACTTAAGGTCCTAGAGGGACAGAGTCACTGCATGCTGAGAGGGAGTGATGTGGAAAAGAGCACCAAGGAAAAAGGCTCAGCCAAGCAAGTGGGGAGCAGAGAGCAGGCGAACACCAGAGGGTAAGTGCCTTTATTGGAACTCAGGTTGAGACACACAAGAAAAGGGATACACAAGAAAGATTTTACTGGTGTGTTGAAACGTTACTAGGTTATGGTCAGGAGAGGTTGGGAAAGGAAACTTGTGGCAGGGACCAATCTTACCACACTGTTGCACCTGGTTGTCTGGGCAGGATGCTCTCAGCCTGTTTGTGGGTTGTTGAGGAAGCAAGAAAATATGAAGTTTTAAAATTTACAGTACAATATAACTTTGTCAGATAAATGCCTACCAAGTATTTTCTCCCATTTTGTGACTTGCCTTTACATTTTCTTAACCATAATTTGTAAGTTCAAATTTTTTCATATGATGGAATTTATCATTTTTTCTTGTAGTTCATGCCTTATGTGTCCTGTTTAGAACTACTTCTCTGACCAAATGTCATAAAGATTATCTTCTACATTTTATTCTAGAAATGTAATATTTTTAGCTCTTGTGTTTAGCTATTTAAGGCATCCTAAGTAAATTTTTATCACAGCATGAGGTCAGGGTTGATGTCAATTTTTTCCCACACAAATATCCAATGATCTTAGCACCCTGTTTTGAAGATTATCTGTTTTTTGTTTTTCCTTTGACTTACCTTTTCATTGTTGTAAACAACCAATTGCCTATATAAATGTGAGTCTACTTCTGTACTATTCTGTTCCATTTATGCTAAAGCAGGGAATCCACTCAGAGATGTTTCTTTCCCAGGCCGGAGTGCAATGGCGTAATCTTGGCTCACTGCAACCTCCGCCTCCTGGGTTCAAGCGATTCTCCAGCCTCAGCCTCCCAAGTAGCTGGTATTACAGGCGTCTGCCACTCCGCCTGGCTAATTTTTGCATTTTTAATAGAGATGGGATTTCACCATGTTGGCTAGGCTGGTCTCAAACTCCTGACTGCCAGTGATCCACCAGCCTTGGCCTCCCAAAGTGCTGGGATTACAGGCATGAGCCACTGCTCCCGGCCTATTTGTAGCTTTTTGAAAAACC